TGCAGAAAAATCTGCCGGGATCTGTAAATTCCGACGAATGAGCAGATTCCGATCATCGTAGTGCCGATCAAAATGATAGCAATCGAGTCCCCAGCTTACCTGCCGTCTCAACTTTTCTGTAAATCTCAAGCTTCGTCAAGTACCGGGAGCCAGTATCTCAGCAGCTCACAGTCCCACGGCCATGGCAGCATTTTCAAGCAGCACAATCTGTGCTTCTTCAAAACACCGATTAAGTATTCATTTTTCTTCGACACTCGGAGGATAAACTGTAAACATATCGGTGATTCTGCTTTCGTCTGTCGTTCCTCATTGGCTTCGCCGCAAATTGATCAGGTTTTTCTTTTCTGTTTCCTTTTTATTTTATAGTTTTACTTCAGTGGTTTCTGAGAAAATAAAATTCTCGCTTCGAGTGTGCAGGAGGATGATCGGAAGAAGGTTCCTGATGTTCAATCGTTGGTGAGAAGGTTCTGGAAAGTGGCCGAGCCTTACTGGTTTTCCGATGATAAGGTTGGGGCACGGTGGAGGCTGGCGGCGGTTTTTGCTCTCACGCTGGGGACCACCGGAATCAGCGTCGGCTTCAATTTCCTCGGACGGGACTTTTTTAACGCTTTAGCCAGTACATTTACCTTCAGCTCTTTCTTGGTTTCGTTTCGATTTGCTTTCTTGTTGATTTTTATTGAATCTCCAAATTATGTGTAAATTGCTGAAATGAGGGTGCTTATTGTTGTGGCTTCGGGTTCATGGAAGACAAGGATCAAGAGCAGTTCACAAAGCAATTACTATACTACTTGGCCAGTTTTGCTGGTGGAATTCCGGTGAGCCTGTTGCTCCATATTTCGTGGGTATTGTGGTAGTATTTGCATATACGTCTATCTGATATAGGTGTACTTTGTTACTAACAATACAATGCCTACGACTAAAGACATATTCAAGTTCGCTCATGGCATTTTTCATTAGTTGCTAAGTGGAGGATCATATATTCATATGAATATGCTAGCTTCGTTTTGTTGTTCGTACAGGATAGATTATTTAATATATATGTCATTTATCTTTTGTAAAGGAGTGTAGGACAGTGCTGCGTTATCTAGATATTAGCTTGTAGTGAAGGATGTATTAGGTATATCTAATGGATCAACACAAGATAAACTATATTGAGGTGAAACCTTGTGAAACGTTTGCCTACAATTTTCATGTAAGATACATCTCCAATAAGCGAGGGGTAATTGTTAGATGTATATAAACTTTAGAATTCTGTGAAATAAAAAATAAAAAATAAAAAATCTCTCTGGACATGAAAGTACAGGACACTGTAACCATCAGTTGTATATGTTGGACTTCAAAAATTTTTCATGCTATGGTTGTGACATGCAATGGAATAGTTTTCTTTTATCAATTTTATAAAATAATTGCAATTATTGGTGGGTGAGGGGTGGTTCGTCAGCATTTTGTCTTCTTCTGTTATTTAATTGCAGTTCCGACTTTGTTGTTTGTTAAGCATCATTGCTGCTGAATTTATTGCGTTGCAGGTTTTTGTATTGCGAGATTATGCAAAAGACACTCTTTCTTTACGATGGAGATCTTGGATGACAAGCTATTACATGGACCGCTATCTGAAAAACCGAACCTTTTACAAGATACAATCCCAGTCAATCATTGATAACCCTGATCAGCGGATTGTTGATGATCTAAGCTCTTTCACAGGAACTGCTCTTGCGTTCTCCCTGACACTCTTCAATGCGACTATAGACTTGATATCTTTCAGTAACATTTTGTATGGTATTTATCCACCACTATTTCTCGTACTTCTTGGATACTCATTTGGTGGAACAGCTATCAGTGTATACCTTGGGAGGGTAATTTTACTTCTCCACTCATCAACGTAATCTTAACCCTTTCACTTGTCAATTATCTGTCTTAGGAGATCTAAGTACTACCTATAACCCAAAATTTTGCCAAATACTTTGTTATAACATATATGCAACTACTAGTGATGAGTCAAATATACTTTTAGGGATTGGTGAATCTGAACTTCTTGCAAGAGAAAAAAGAAGCAGATTTTCGATATGGACTTGTGCGTGTGAGAGAAAATGCAGAATCCATTGCCTTCTATGATGGAGAGGAAAATGAGATGCAACTACTGCTGCAGCGGTTCAGTAGTGCTTTCGACAATCTTAGTGTATGTAAATTCTCAAGCTCTATGTTCTAATGGACTCTAATTTCATTTCCTCGTGAGCCTATGCATATGTGATTTTCATATCTAAAAATCAAAATTCTTTGTTCTTAGAGAATAAAATCCTGTGGAATGTTGGAGGCAATCTGTATAACTTCTTCCAGAAAATCTGTAAATATAAATTGATATTAATTTCGATCAACATCGTACTAAACGTTTTCCCGTAACTAACAACCAATTTTACTATGCAATTTTCTTCTTCTCCCTCTGCCAAAAAAATCATGGTTCTTGAGATCATTTTTTATGGTGACAGCAAGTTTTTCACTTTCGATCTCAGAACCAGGACAGTTGAATGAAATCCTTACTACTGAATAGCATATTTAAGAAGCAATTTTAACAAAATTCAGCACATTTACTGTGAGGAAGCCCAAGAAAACATTTGAAAAATGTAGACAAAATTATTTTGTGGCAAAATTCAACCACTTTCTTGTACAACCGCAAGAATCCTTCATTTAGAGGCAGAGAACTGATTTTAGCTACTGCAACATTTATCTTTGAAGTAAAGTCAGCAGGCAAGAACCTCATTAAATTCTTTGAGTTATGGTAATGTTCTGCTTAAAAAGTTGAACCGATCACAACTTTTAACTTTATATATTTATTTTTGTGCCATCTTTAAATTTACAGAAATTGTTGATATCTTCCAGAAACCTGGATTTCTTCACCAGCGGCTACCGGTACCTGATTCAGATTCTTCCTGCAGCAGTTGTTGCACCCATGTACTTCTCTGGAAAAATTGAATTTGGAGTAATAAATCAGTCTATGTCTGCTTTTAATCACATACTCGGAGATTTTTCCCTCATCGTGTACCAATTTCAGGCCATCAGTGCCTTTTCTGCTGTCATTGATCGGCTAGGTACGCCGTTTCTCCTGTATGGAAATTATGCTCAGGTTGTGTATCTTTTGGATATCTTTAAGCAAGAGTAATTTCCAACACTGATCTGTAGTTTTCAGAACCGGGTAACTTCACATAATGTGAGAACTTATTTGTTACGTGGGGTGAAACTTCGTGAGTTTACTGACATATTGCACCTAGATTTCATACGGATCTGATCTAATCTCTCACATAGATAGTCTTGTTCTCATTCTCCATAGGCCCTCTTGAGATGGAATTCCTTTCACTGATTGCATGAACTAGAGAAGGCTTCAGTAACCTTTTCGGCAAAAGCATTGTGATGTTTCTTACTTTAGAATTCCTTTAGGGTGTATTTAGATTCAGGGTCTTGAGTCTATGAATTTCAATTTCTCAATTCCAAATTTCCATACATGTTTGGATGAATATAGAAATTGGAAGATTTCGAATTAACCCTAGAAGTCCAATATATTTTACTCGTTATTCAAAGGGATTTCAATGACTCCTCAAGTCTAGTCTTTTCTAATTCACTCTTACTCCCAGCACCTTCATGACTACCTCAAGCCAGCAATGTCGTCGCGAGCAAGACAAGTAGACAACAGATTTATAATCACTTCCATAAATCTCCGTCCATATCCAAACAAGAAATTTTAAAGCATGAATTTTGAAATTCAAGGGGTTTGAAATCTATTCATTTGAACTCCCTCGGATTTCAAATCCCTCAATCTAAAAGCAACCTTATAGTATTTGTCTTGACACCAATGGGAAGGAACTACTTGAAATTAGCCCCAATGTTGTACCTGTGTGTGCTGTGACCGTTGGTATATGACCTACAACATAATAAGGTATACAATATGCAAGTCACTGCACTTGTTCACTTTTTTCGTAGGGTTCTTGATCACGAGATCATAAAACCAAAGATTTACGTTTGCATGTTGGTGTCAATAACTCCTCACAGCGGTTTGATCTGGTTGTTACATAATTTCCAACGACAGGTGAATTTGATGATCTTTTAACTAGTAACGAAACCAGTAGAGACGGTGAACCCGTTGAACAAATCCATCGTGAATTTTGCAATCTAAACAGTTCAGAAATGTGTAATGGAGCTGTGCCACTCAAAGGAGATTCAGAATTGCTCTCAATTGAGCGTTTGACACTGTTGACTCCAAGTAAAGCTACTCTTATAAGGGACTTGACATTGGAGATCTGCGAGAAGGATCATCTGCTGGTTCGTGCTTATATTTAATCATTGAGATATCCTACATATAGATTCTCAGTTTAAAAATGGGTTGATTTCTGGTAGATAGCTGCATTAACAGATTACAGGACCAAGTGGAAGTGGTAAAACTTCATTGCTGAGAGCTTTAGCTGGACTGTGGAGCTTTGGAAGGGGAACAATAAGATTCTATAACAAAACTACAAGGGGTACTTCGCCACACCTTTCTGAAAGTGTAGCTTCACCTAAAGCAACTTTGCCATATGGGCTCGAACCTGACCAAATGAATAAGAATAACTCAAGAGATGTATTTTTCCTTCCTCAAAAACCATACATGGTTTTGGGAACGTTACGCCAACAATTGCTTTATCCTACTTGGAGTGACGAACCAGTACCCGTGTCAGATGGTGATACTTCGAATGGTATGTTCTAAAGTACCGAGACTGTCATATTATAGGAAAACCGCAGTTCTTAATTGCCCTTAGTATTTTGAACATTCTGAATCGACAATTTTATTTAATTTTTTTAATTTTAATTTAATTTCTGACACAATAATAGTGCTGACGTTCTAAAAACTGCAGATGTTACAAATGAATTTTGTTAGTCAGAGATAGTAATTTGTTTATGTTTAAGTGTAAAAACTCATCCCTTATGTTTTGTCTGATGAAAGAAATAATTTAGTTTTGTACAAATGGGACACGGGCGATCAGATAAGTGGAATGAACTTGGTAAATTATAACGAGAGGTGTGTCTTCCGGACAAATGCTTTTGCTCAAGTGATGTGTAAATTGATGACATTCATGTAACAGGTTTGTTGCCTTTCCTGACCCGAAAGAGAGACAATGATTCAAGACCTGTGAAGCCAACAACTGATGATTTAGTCCAAGTTCTCAAAGATGTTCGCCTTAGCTACATATTATCACGATTTGACCTAGATTCCATGTATGAATGGTCTAGTGTTCTATCTATTGGTGAGCAGCAACGCCTAGCATTTGCACGCTTGTTGCTCTCGAGACCAAACTTGGCCCTGCTAGATGAGTCGACAAGTGCTTTAGATGAAACCAATGAGGTATTAAATTCAAATTGGACATTTCTCTTTGTTCTTCACAAATTTTTTAAGTTCTGTGGCTAAGTTGTTTTTGGAACACCGTTGACTTTAGACTTTTTGTGAGGCATAAATCTGCGTTGAACTATGCAGCCATGTTTGATGAATAAAATGTGTCTGAGTTCAACATACAACTCATTTATTTAAACGAGAAGAGCCTTCACTCTTTTTTTAGCCTAAGAAATGCTTATACTTGCTTAGGTTCCCAACTCACACTTATACATAATTACAGCCCATTAACTAACTGATGGGACAAACATAATTCTAACACCCTCCTCAGGTACAATGTGCCAAACCAAATGGGTCATGTCAAAATTCGAAATTTCCTTGAAACAAACAAAATATGGGTGCTCTGATACCATTGAAGAATGGGCTTGAATAGAACTCATACCGAAAAGCTAGCTCAAAGGGAAAGGATGCTCAATCCACATTATAACAACACAATAACTAATTGATGTGGGACAAACATAGTTCTGACACTCCTAAACAAGTTCATATATCGGTTCATGAACAATTTGTTTAGAGAACTTTGTTATTATTTATTTATACATTAGGTTTGTATAATTATCCCCTTTTTACCTATCTAAATAAAAAATTTAGAAATGTTCTTAAAGTAATAACCATACAGTTTTGGATTTTCTATTGAGCCGAGTCTGGGGACTGGAAAAATCGTCTCAGTTTGGCTCATTTGCAGCTATTTATAAAAATTCACACATTTTCTATCTAAGTCACAACATATTTTATTAATATTAATAATACGACCTTACACATTTTATAGATTGATTAAAAACTAGAACACCATGAAGATAAATAAATTGAAATAATTACGTGAAATTTAGAAGAAGAGGAGTCAATTAAATTCATTATACTCATTAATATTATTATCACTATTATTTACGTTGTTGTGAGACATGTTTGTTTTGTTAAATGCATATGGGAGAAACTCGGAATTTTATGAGAAATTATATGCTTGGTTTTTATGATAACTATGCATTTTGAAACAGTTCATCATTATTATATTTAAATGTAAACTAGCTAAACCATGGATCATTATATTATGACTTCGTACTTGTTTTGCTTATACGTCAATCACGGCCTCTCATGTTCCCCTTGCTTAACGGCACAGTTAATTATTTGTTCATGCAGAGTTGTTAGCTGGATTTTTAGCATAATGTGATGAAAATGCTCTCCTATTATAACTTTTTGTCAAACTTTCGAGTTGTCTGGGCCGCATTAACATCCAATTTTACCTTTTGCACGCAACTTGTGTTTATTTGCAGGCTCATTTGTATAAGCTGATTGAAGCTGCTGGGATCACATACGTGAGCATAGGCCATAGACGAACACTATACGAACACCATAAAAACGTGCTCCACATATCCCCTGTGGACCCCACTGGTGAACTCCTAAATTGGCTCGTCGAGCCCATTACTTATAATGTATCCGCATACAATTCATCAAAGCAGTAGATGCAAACTTGAACCGGTCGAGGGTTGTATAATTAACATGAAAGAAAGAACAGGGTGCATAATGCAAATACCAACTTTTTGAGCCCTGAATTGCATTTTGCACTGAGCATGAGCATTTATTGCATGGGGTGACAAAAACAAGCAATTAAAAGCTGTTTTTGGGTGATTTGTATTATATGTACATGTGAGCTGTGAGTCTGTGACCTTATTGGTAAGTATGCATTTGAAGAATTTTATAAGAGAATAGAAGTTTCTGTTCACTCTGATCATATTATGGGATCTTTCAAATTATATATATCTTTTCACTGATTGTGATGCAATTTTCATTAATTGCAGCAAACTTCATTAAGGCTGCATTGTATTAATTAATACAGGGAAAAAAGTGTTCGTGAAGGCGACGGCACCACCAGTGCTAGTTAGTACTAGGTTAGTCTTTCTTAATATTTAATTTACTCATCTTATTGATTGTTAACCCCTGAGGTTTGACTTATTTATAAGAGAGTAAGAAAACTAGTATGAATTTGCAATTCTTTTAAATGGTAAGGGCGTGATCGGATATGGATCATAATCGGTTTTGACCGATCACATTATTTTGTTACCGATTACCATACTTAGAAATTCAACTCGACCAAACTCTCATGCTTTTTTTAAAAAAAAAAAATAATTAAACTAATATTAATAATCGGGTTTGACCGATCACATTATTTTGTTACCGATTACCATACTTAAAATTCAACTCAACTAAGCTCTCGTGCTTTATTTATAAATATAATTAAATTAATATTAATATCGATCAATCATCTTCACACGTTATATCAACTTTAATTCATTATTCTTGTACTCACATAATTTTAAGTATGTATTACTTTCAATAATCTGTCTTCATACTTTTACACTACATCAAATTTGTTTGTTCATTTTAAATGTTATTTAATTACAAACTCAAAATAATCCACTCAATTAACTTTATTCAGAATAATTCACTTTAACCAAATAAATTCGATCATAGTCGATTGGATTCATATCCAATCATGCCCTAGGTCTTTCTTAAACAATCACCCCTTCTATGGAGCCATCGGATGGCTCCCTTATGGAGCCATCCGGTGCTTTATGTACTGACACATGTCTAATGTGCATTTATTATAGGACACATGTCAATACACCATTTGTGAATAACTATGGATGACTCCATAAGTCGAGTCATCCGATAGCTCCATATCAAAACCGGTGGATGTTTTTATTAAATTATTGGGACGTGTATTAACTTCAACCATGGAAGTTATTAAATTGACCGACTAACCAACTTTCATATGCTAAGCATAATTTTTGCAACAGTTCGGTGAGTCGATTCGTCATATTTTCTTTTAACAAAAACGACTGCACAAATGTCATATATATTCGTGTTGTTTTTTAAAATGATATTTCAGTTTGAAAATATATGCCTCTGTTGAAAAAAAAATATGATTGTGTGACCTTAAGCTTACATTTAGTCATTGAAAAGCTTTTTTAGAAAAATAAACTTTTCTACTATATCATCTTACATTATTTTCACGATTCGAAAGTATTACTTTTAAGAGTAATGTTATAGGTACATAATATTGTATGTTGAGAAAATATGATTGTGTAACCGTTCAGCTTAACTTTAGTCATTGAAAAGCTTTTTTTAAAAAAATAAACTTTTCTACTATATCATCTTACATTATTTTCACGATGAAAGTAGTACTTTTAAGAATAATGCTATAGGTACATAATATTGTACACAGAGGTGTACATAACATTCATATTAAATGGAATTCACCAAAATTAAAAAAATAGGTCGACCCCACTCCATATGAGTGTTATGTACATCTCTACCTAATATGTATATTTTTTCTCCTCTCCTTTTGTTTTTAGGGTAATCACTAATTAAGCAACATGAGGGTGTTTCTTGTAATTTCCCCATGCAATATAAGTTAAGTCCACATTATTATTTCCAAGACGGTAATTGAGGATATAATTGATGTCCGTGTTTGACCAGCTATTATATTACTACTACTTAATATTTATTTCAGAGTTGT